GTGCTTTAGACCACTGAGCCATCTCATCATCCCACTGGCTTTCTTTTTGTTCTGTGTCTCCTTTGCGTCCCACCACTCCATCTCACCTGGGGCTATTTTTCTTTCAAAATACAAAATCTGATTCTATGGGAATTCTGCAAAAGTCCCAACTGAGGTCAACAAGATAATGGGAAGACTCGTGGCCGTGAGCAAGCTATCTGCCAAGAGAGAGGTAAGTTACACACCTGCCAGAGCACAGAGAGACTGCTCTCCTCCCTGTTCTGCTTGGCTCCTTCTGTCGTCCAAAACTTTCTTGACTGTGTCCATTAGGCCAAATGTATGCGCTACGTTGTTGAGGACAGCCGCATCTATTTAAAACAAAATACATGCCTGTAAAACTCAAAACAGAGATGTCCTAACAGCTCCCTGTTACGCTGCTTATAAATATGAATAATCCAGAAATTATGGGACTCTCCTCATTGCTTCTTTGTATGTGTATGTGTGTGTGGGGGTGTGTGAGCACACACATGTGCACACATGTGCTTGCACAGGAATAAGCTACAACCCAGCCTTTTTTTTTTTTTAAGACAGGGTCTCAGTCACTATGTATTCCTGGCTGGTCTTAAGCTCACTATGTAGCCTAGGGTGACCTCAAACTCACAGTGATCCTCCTGGATAAACTGCCCAGAGTCCTGGGATTATAGGCATTTGCCTCCATTTTCCACCTTAAAAACAAAAAACAAAAAACAAAAAACCTGTATCAAAGTCAGGTGTAGTGTTCATGCCTATCAATCCAGCACTTTGGAGGCTGAGGCAAGAGGATCATTGCAAGTATGAAGGCAGGCTGGGCTATATACTGAGTTGAAGGCCAGTCTGAACTATATAGTAAGACCCTGTTTCAAAGAAACCCTAAAAAAAAAAAAAAAACTACTTATAATTTACTCTCTAAGCCTGCTCCTTTCCTGGTGGTTTCCATCTCAATAAATGGCATGTTCATCACCATATATCAGGCCATGTTTAATCCCCAGAACTCCAAAACAGAAAATAATATGTATTTGGCATCACCATTCATAGCTCAGGTGAAAAAGTTATGAATTATTCTGCGTGTCTTTTTTTTCACTCCACATCCAATCCATCAGCAAGATCTGTCAGTTCCACATTCAAAACCCCCTAGGTGGATTCAGTGCCATCTACAGTCTCAGCTACATGGGAGGCTGAAGCAGGACTGCAAGTTCTAGGCCAGCCTAGGTAGCTTAGTGATATCACATTTCAAAAAAGAACAGGGTGAGGATGTAGCTCAGTGGTGCAAGTGTCTGCCTGGCAAGCACAAGGTTCTGAGTTCAATTCCTAGTATCCTACCTACCCCCAGCAAAAAAGAAAATCTGATTCTATGGGAATTCTGAAAAAGTCCCAACTGAGGTCAACAAGAAAATGGGAAATTGCTTGTCCTTTTTAAATTTTCCAGTTGGGCATAGTGGTGCACCCCTGTAATCCCAGCATTCAGGAGGCTGAAGCAAGAGGATCATTGCAAGTTCAAGACCAGCATGGACTACAAAGTGTGCTCAAGGCCAGCTTGAACTGCATAGGCCAGACCCTGTCTTAAAAAGAAAAAAAGTTTCCAATAGGTCTTTTTTATTTTCATTCTTGTACCATAGTCCTCTGCATAGCAACGAGAGTGTTTTTTTAATTTTTCCTCTTTGTTTTTTCCATTACCGGGAATTAAGTCCAAAGCCTTCACACTGAACTACACTGCCCTCACTTTTTATTTTTTGAGAGAGGGTCTTGCTAAGTTACACAGGCAGAACTGGTTATGTTGGCACAAGCCTGTAAGCCCAGCACTTGGGAAGCCAGAATAGGAGGATCACTGTGAATTCGAGGCTGGCAGGACAGCTTGAACTATACAGTGAGATTCTATCTCAATACCCAAGCAAAAGAAAAACATAGCTGGGTGTGGAAGCACAAGCCTATAATCTCAGCACTTGGGAAGCTGAGGCAGAGCTGCAACCAGTTCAAGGCCAGTCTGAATTACATAATGAGACCCTGCCTCAAAAACAAAATGAAACAATGCACTTATGAATGTGGAATGGGTGAGTTAACTTTTATGAGCCTGCTTTCTTCTCTGTACAACTGAAATAATATCTGGATGTCAGTGTTATGAGGCTAACAGGCCCTGCCTACCTTTTTACAAGTACTCAACAAATGAGCACTTTGGTTAGGATCAGCACACATACCTGTGACCTGGAATGGAGCCTGGAGGAGCCGCTGCTGAACTCCCCTGAGCAGCTCCTCTATTTCCTTCTGGATGTTGCAGACAACCTCTTCCATCAGCCCTACGTCAGCTATTCCTTTCCAGAACATCAAAGTGTCTTCTAGCACAAGAAGGGTAAGACAGAGGTAAGCAAAGGATGCTAACAAGATATCCAGGCACAACTCTATAGTGTTAAATCAAAAGTATCACAACTGAGGTGCTGGTGAGATAGCTCAGTGGACGAAAGCACCTGCTTAGGCAAGTGCAGGGACCTAAGTTCGATCCCCAGCACCACATGCACCAGCCCTGCCCCCAGGGTGGGCTGAGCTGACCAGACTCTCGGCATAGTGGCGTATGCCTCAAAAACAGGAGGATCACTATGAGTCCGAGCTGTGTAGTGAGACCCTGTAACAAGCAAATATATTTAAAAAAAAAAAAAAAAGAAGTATCACAATTGAAAAATATTCCTTGGGGACTGGGGAGATGGCTCAGTGGAATAAGCGCTTCCCTGGCAAGCGCAAGGACCTCAGTTCAATCCCCGGTTCTGAAAAAAAAACACGAAAAATATTCTTTGTCAGGCCATTTCTGGGCAAAGGAAAGCAACTTCGGGGATATTAAATGCCTCCCTAAATTGATACCTAATAAACTGGTCCTTTCAATCCTTTAGGGATTTGGGATGATTGCCCAGTTTGTCATGCCTTCAATTTGTTATGGCTCTGGCTAAAAAAACAGACATGTGCCTCCATGAAAGATATTAAGTTAGGGGCTTGGGAGATAACTCAGCAGTTTAAGCACCTGCCAGACAAGCACAAGGACCCAAGTTTAATCCACTATGCTGCATGTCCTGAAATAAGAAATGGTGGCGCACACCTGTAATCCCAACACTGGGGAGGCTGAGACAGGAGGATCATTAAGTCTGAACTCTGTAGTGAGACCCTGTATCCAATTAAAACAAAAGGGGGGTGCAGGGAGATGGCTCAGTAGAATAAGTGCTTGTCTGGCAAGTGCAAGGGTCTGAGTTCAATCCCCGGTTCTGCCAAAAAAGAAAAAATTTATAAAAGGGGGGCTGGGGAGATAGCTCAGCAGAGTAAGTGCTTGCCTGGCAAGTACAAGGTCCTGAGTTTGATCCCTGGTACCGCACACACACACAAAAAAGATAGTAAGTTAAATTTTAAATGAGAATTAAATGTTAAATATTATTTGATTAAATTCAAATTTAATTTGAATTACATATTTAATATTATAAAAGTCAGACAGTTAAGTAAAAAAAAATTTTTTTCTTCTTTGCGGAACCAGGGATTGAACTCAGGACCTTACGCTTGCCAGGCAGGCGCTTATTCTACTGAGCTATCTCCCTGGCCCCAGTTAAGTAAATATTAATTAAGATATACTTATCCTACACCTATATTTAAGAAAAAAATTGTTTTTTTCGGTACCAGGGATCGAACTTGGGACCTTACACTTGCCAGGCAGTTGTTTATGCTACTGAGCTATCTCCCCAGCTCAAGAAAAAAAAAATGTTTGGATAGATAGGGCTATAAGTTACCTGCAGTTGGTGGCTACATACCTAGCTGCTAGCAAGATAGCAACTATCAAACCAGCAATGATAAATGTTTATTAGAATAATTAATAAGTGGAAAATGTAAGAGGAACACCTTTGAAAGTACTTGGTGTTGTGATAACTGCATTTCACTTAATTTTAATGCAAAAAGTTATAGTGTGGAGGCCCTGCATCGAAACCAGATATTTTTCAATGTTGACAAGATATTATTTTATAATTTGGCCTTCCTAAGGCCATATTAAGATCCAAGTGTTATTACAATTTTGATGTTCTTTACCATATTTACCTCAAAATTAAAATAAAACTAAGCCACACAATAATGAAAAAAAAAAAAAAATAAGTGGAAAATGAGATAAACTTTTTCTGGTCTCCTTTAATAGGATCATTGATTATCAGCCTCTGTACCACTTGCTACCTAGTTTTCCTTCCTTCTAACATCTTGAAGCCTGGCTTAGCTAAGAAATGTGCCAAAGCCAGGGGAAGTTTGATAGCAGAAAAAACACAGCCCACAGTTACACAGCTGAATTCAGTTCCGACAGAGTGATGCTGTGGCCAGAAAGGCAGCTGGTGAGCCTTTCGGGATCCCTGTTTTTTCCTGTGCAAAATGTAACTGAGTAGGGTGGTTAAGTGGATTAAAATAAAATGTTTGTAGCTATAGTTAGTATTCATATGCATGCGAAAAACCAGCAAAAGTAATTAACAGCTCTTCTTTCTCTATGATCATAATGATGATGAGGGTCAGAAAAAGTCTGCCAGGGAGCCGAGCTGCAAAGGAAGGTACCTGAAATTTCCTCCGAGTCTTTCTTCACACCTTCCTCGGTGGCCATGGTGACGGCAGCAGTGAGCGCTGAGTTCCACTCCAGCCCCGCCTCCTCCATGCTCTCTTCAGAGATGGCGATCTGTGTGATGCCACCTAAGGGAGCCCATGGCATGCAGAGCCCGTGAATTTAATGAAAAAGTCATCATCGTTCCTCTATTGCACACCCCCACAGAGGCCTTGTTATTCTAATGCACTCACCTCTTGCCTGTGGGCCCCTATTTTAAAAATTACAGTCACAAGGAAGAGGAGGCAAATATTAGATTTTCTTAAAAAAACCCCAAACAACATCAACAAATGTGCTTTAGAAAACACTTCTTGCTTTGACTAGAAAGGGAAAGATAAGGTCTCAAGAGGGAAATCTGCTTCCTGAGCAGAGGCTTTTGCAAGCACCTAAAGGTAGGCCTGGCTGCAGGGCTGCCCACCCAGGCCTCCCAAGGGCGAGGAGGACAGGGACTAATGCAGGGTGAGGGTGCTCTGCCAGAAGCTCTGCTCTCCACATGCTCAATACTAAAACCCTAAAATGTAAGAAGTTCCTAGGTCTTATTTATCAGCCACTGAAGAGAAGCAAGAAACGGAGACCCAAGAAATCAGGTCAGCGATCCATGAATAACAGGTTCACAAAAGGGAAAAAACCCTTGCAACTGACTGTCTATGAAGATTTAAAACAAAAAGAATTGGGAGAAATCAAACTGATTCAGACAGCAATATAGGCAATGTAGACTCTATGCACTTGAAGAGATCAGTAATCTAACAAAGGAAAATATGAATTATTATTTCTAATAATCAAAGCAGTTTGGCCAAAGAAAAAAATGAAGTGAATCATTTCAGAGCATTTTTCCACTTTTCCAGTGAAAGAATCAAGTATCCAAACTGCTGGGAATTTTATTTATCTTTTTTTTTTTTTCTCATAGAACCGAGGATTGAACTCAGGCCCTTGCACTTGCCAGGCAAGCACTTATTCTACTGAGCCATCTCCCCAGCCCCAGTCATTTGTTAAGTGCAGTAATTCCCTAACCTTGTAGATCCTTGAGCATTCATGTGATTCTCTGTTGGATATATTTTAAGACTGAGAACAGTATTGATACCCCCCCCTAACTTTTTTTTTTTTTGCAGAACCGGGGATTGAACTCAGGCCTTTGCGCTTGCCAGGGAAGCACTTATTCTACTGAGCCATCTCCCCAGCCCTGATACCCCCTTTTCTTTTACTGGAGATAGTCTCTTATGATATATTCCAGACTACTCTTGAACTCACAATCTTCCTGTCTCAAGCCCCAGAGTGCTGGGATTGCAGATGTGTACCATCATGGCCTGGTATTTGAGACACACTTTATCCAGCTGTGGTATGGCTTCAGCTGGACTGACTGGATCTTTTAGTATAATCTCTTACACAGTTACATCCTTCCTAGACGATGAGAAGAAGCTCTCTACTCTAGCTCAACAAGCCTGAAATTAAGTTTGTGCTCATCCTGGCCATCTGTAAGGAACCCTCCGTTGAACAATCTGACCCACTCAGGCAGAGCTCCCTACCCTGACAGCAGCATCTCCATCATCCAGTCCAGGCAACGGGACACCGGCAACTAGCTGTCATTCTAATCTGCCTTCCTATCTTGACCACTTTAGAGCAAAGGATTTTTAAAACAGTCTAATTTTAACCTTGATATGTGAGGTGGCATTCAAATGAGATCGCTGAATATGCGTTATAAATACAGGACATCTTTTTTTTTTTTTTTGCGGAACTGGGGATTGAACTCAGGCCCTTGCGCTTGCCAGGCAAGTGCTTATTCTACTGAGCCATCTCCTCAGCCCCCAGGACATCTTTTTAATGGTTACCACATGTTGTCAAAAACAAGCAAGGAAGGAGGGCTGGGGATGTCCCTCAGTGGTACAGTGTTTGCCTAGTATGCCTGGGGCCCTGGGTTTCATCCTCAGTATCACAAAACAAAAGGAAACAAAATAAAACAACCTCACAAAACATGAGGAAGATCTAGCTCATAGATAAAAATTACTTAAGAAGTCCAGTGAAGTGATGCACGCCTATAATCTCAACACTCAGGAGGCTGAGGCAGGAAGATCACTGCAAGTTCAAGACCAGCCTGGGCTACACAGTGAGCTCAAGGCTGACCTGAACTATATAGCGAGGCCCTGTCTCAAAACAGGAAAAAAATGAAATATATATATATATATATATATATATATATAAGAATGTGTGGGGAATCTGTTTCTGAAGTATAGACTCCCACCCCAAATTACCATAACTTCCAAGATACATCAATACTGAAAATAGTGAAATTAAGAAACATTAGAGAAGGGCCGGCAGTATAGCTCAGCGGACTAAGTGCTTGCTTAGCTAAGTGCAGGGGCCAGGACTCAATCCCTGGCACCTCATGCCACGTCAGCCGCACCCCTGGGCACACTGAGCTGGCAATGGAGTCCAGGGGTGGTGGCGCATGCCTGTAATCCCAGCACTAGGGAGGCACAAATCAGGAGGATCACTATGAGTTTGAGCTGCATAGTGGGATCACACACACACGAAAGAAAGAAAGAAAGAAAGAAAGAAAGAAAGAAAGAACCCTTAAAAAAAAGAAAAGAAACATCAGACAGCAAGAAGGGGAAAGCACTGTTCAGAAGCACAGCAGGTTTTCAGGTGGTTTCCTACCCCCTACCATCGGCCGAAGTGGGTGTCTGCACCACACTTGTCTGCTGTCCCGGCACTGGAGCTCTCGCGCTGCTAATCAGAAGATCAAATTTGGTGCTTCTGCATGTATTGGAGCACACTTTGTCATGTTGGTAAAAATCAATCTGTCCGGAGTCCATCATTTTCCTGTAAAGAGAGACAAGAAATAGCAGATAAGCCTGTACTTCCTGACAGAGAACTAGACATGTCCCAGAGGCTGTTCTAGAGACTGGTGAGATCAAATGGTATTAGCAGTCATTAGGTTGTGAAACTGCTGATTGGGCTATCAATTTTACATTGGCTCTGCTGGCCTTCACCAGTACTTCCCTTTTCCTCTGAGTTTACTTACTGCCAGTACTCTCTTCCACTTGCTGTTATCCCTAGGCCTCAGGCAGACACTAAGAATGTCACAAGATTGTGGATGTGGTGGCCCAGGCTCTGTGATCCCAGAACTCAGGAGTCTATTGCAGCAGTTCAATCTTTTTTTTCTTGCGGAACCAGGGATTGAACTCAAGCCCTTGCTCTTGCCAAGCAAGTGCTCATTCTATTGAGCCATCTCCCCGACCCCAAGAGTTCAAATTTACAATCAGTTCAATACTAGCCTGAATCACACAGCAAGACCCTGTCTCAAAAAAAAACCCAAACCAAACCAAAATAATAATAATAGTAATAATAATAACAACAGTCACAGGATGTCACTGAAACCAAACCTGAAAGAGAAAACATTAGCTCATATCTCAGCACAACTGAGAAATTTCCTCAACGGAAATCAGAATTTACTGAGCCATCTTCCCGGTCCCCAGTATTTCTATATCAGCAAGATCTGTTGCCACTTTTAGAGATATAATGCTTTGATAGACATCCCCTTTCCCCCATACTGGGTGTGGACTCTAGGGCCAGACACAGGCTCCCACACCAAACTACATTTCCAGTCCCTTAGGGTTTTTATTTTGAGACAAGGTTTCACTAAGTTCCTGAGGTTGCAGTCAGCCTGCCTCAGTCTCCTAAGCAGCTAGGATGACAGGAACAAATCACAGTAGAATTCCTTCATTTAGAAAAGAAAAGGCCAGGCATGGTAGCACATGCCTATAATCCCAGCATTCCTGAGGCTGAAGCAGGAGGATAATTGCAGGTTCAAGACCAGCCTGGGCTACAAAGTGAACTCAAGACCAGCCTGAATTGCAGATCAAGAACCTGTCTCAAAAAGAAAATAAATAAGGGCTGGCAAGATAGCTCAGGGGACTAAGCACCTGCTTAGGCAAGCGTAGGGACTGAGGTTCCATCCCTGTCCCGCGTGCTGAGCCGGCCTTGCCCCCCCGGGGGGGGGGGGCGCATCAGAGACTGAGTCTGGGTATGGTGGCATAGGCCTGTAATCCCAGTGCTGGGGAGGCTGAAAACAGGAGAATCACACTACAAGTCCAACCTGCAAAAAGACCCTGCACCACATACATTAAAATAAATAAATCAAATACAATTTAAAAAAAGAAAAGAAAGCAAGGGAGGCTGGGGATTTGGCTAGCAGTAGAATGCCTGCCTAGCAAGCTGGAAGCCCTGGGTTCGGTCCTTGGGACCAAAACCAAAAAATAAACCTCCCCTAAGAAAAGAAAGCAGGGAATGGTGGCACACACTCGTCACACCAGTACATGGTGTGCTCAGGTAGTAGGATGGTGAGTTCAAAGCCAGCCTTCAGTACATAGTGAGTTGAAAGCAGCCTGAACAGTTTATGTAAGCTGAAGGCCAGCCTGAGCTGCATAGTGACACCCTCACTCAAAAAGACAAAACAAAAACAAAAAAAACCTTTCCCAACCCTCTTGCCTCAGCTTCCTGACTAGTGGGATCACAGGTGTGTACCACCACACCCAACTCTGGTTTTATTTGTTTTATTCCCATTACATCATAAGCATTTTTCCACATTAAAAAAAAAATCATCAGAAATATTTCAGTGATTGCAAAATAACCTTTAATATATACTCATAGATATTTAGACAAGGCACAATTTAGAAGTCCCTTAACTATATATCAAAGCAAACTGTAATTTTCATGATAGTAAATAATGCTGCACTAACCATTTTTTTTAACTAAACATTTTTATGCTTGAATCTCCACAAGCAAATTATAGATTTACCTTAGAATAGATATTTTTTTTT